GACCCGCGAGAGTGGGCAAGGGCGAGCGTGAGCGCGCGGGACGCTCGGAAGCAGCCCCGGCGGCAAAGTCTTTTAAAAGTTTCTCTCCCGTGAAACCGAGTGTCAGATCCGAACAGCCAATCTCCTGCAGACGTGACGTCAGGCAGTAAATCCTAATTGGGGAAAGCGTGAGATGAGCCCGAGAACGCGCACCACCCCGCTTCCAAGGGAGCGGTGCTGTGGGCGCAAAGGCAGCGGCCCTCACGCCCGGGTCCCCGCGTCCCGAGAGAGCACAAAGAACTCGGCGCAGTCCCCGAAGGGTCTTTTCCTCTTAGAAGCCCCGCAGGAGTCGTTCGATACTGTTTGGAAATCCAGGCGTTTTTTATTCTTTTTTAATCCGTGTTTGCTCGGATACTTGCTGTGGGGTTTGGGTTAAAATACCATAGGGGGGCCCAGAAAGGACTGTCCGGGGTGCACCCAGCTCTCCATTGAAAAGCGCTCAGTTGGTTCTCTGTGGTACTGAAAACCCGGTGACGGTCCTCGGTCTGCAGCCTCTGGTACCTACTGTTAGCTCCGCAGGTAGAGGAGAGCGCGGTCAGCAGGGGGCGCCCGTGTAGGTGGGGAAAAACCGCAAGGCGAATCCGCAGCAGAGGCACGCCTGCCTGTGGTCCAAAGACTAGAGGAGAGGGGTACAGTTTAAGCCCTTTGGCAACCCCATGCTACTATTAGTATTTAAAACACACACACACACACACACACACACACAGAGAGAGAGAAAGGAAAAGAAATTATCTTCCCCGGACACCAATTCAAATAGGGCCACTCAGTACAGAGATGACCCGAGATGAAATTAAAGGAGATGGCAGAATGTCCTAAGGAGCAGAGTTGTAGTGCTCTTGCGGAACACTATACAACAACGACGTATTTATTTCTAGCATTTGAATTTACATCAGTGTCACTAGCAGGGTGCATGATCTCTTGTATGAATGCAATAGGAAACCCATGATCATCATAGTCCACTTTTTAAAGCCTTGATGAATGATGGTCCATTTCCAAAGATTTGGTTATTCTTGTTCATATTTCTTTGCAGCTTATCCTTTTGTTTTCTTGTCTGCCCAAATTAGCTAGTAAACCATTGGTAGGTAGCACAATGGTTTAAAAACAATACAGGACCAGCAGGTGGCATAGTGGTTGAGATGCTGGACTCCTACGTGGTTCGAGTCCCACACCTAGCAGCTACCTTTCTGTTTCTCTCTCTTTCTCTGGTGAGGAAATTTTTAAAAATAATAATAATAACAAGTAAAATTAAATAATTCTTTTTAAAAAGAAGTATTAATGGAAAAATCACTTAAATTGAAAGAAATATTATGCTTTTTCTTCCCTGTACATTGGAGAAAGATCGCCAACATTTAATTTGGCAGGAGAGGACCTTAGTCCAACTGAGCACCGGCTTCCTGTGAAAACACAGTCTGGGATTAACTGGCACTGGACTGGAGGGAACTCAGTTTTGGTCCTAACACGGCCGCTAATTCGCCAAAAGACAGTCCATCTGTGCCCTCTGAATCTCAGCATTCTCCTCCATAACACAGGAGTTGTATTAAAAGTCCCTTCCAGCCTGAAGGGGCCAGCAGGTGACATGGTGGTTAAAGGCACTGGACTCTCACATGGCTGGCTGAGGTTTGAGTCATGGACTTGGCAGCTTTCTCTCTCTCTCTCTCTCTCTCTCTCTCTCTCTCTCTCTGTGTGTGTGTGTGTGTGTGTGTGGTCAAAATTAAATAAATAAATAAATAAATAAATCTAAATAAAACAATTATTTTTAAAAAATGTTCCTTCCAGCCTTAACAGTCTGTGGCTCTAAGAGCCTCCAGGGCCCCTCTGGACAGGTGCATCCCAAGTCAGCCTGTGAGCCAGGCCAAAGTGAACCAGCTGAGAAGAATTGAGGAAGGAGGTAGGTCAAGAAGCTGCCTCTGGCCTGAGTTCTGTATGAAGGCTACTGCCCTTGCTGATAAATATCCAAGTGTCTGTTCTGAAGAAGGCAAGGAGGCCTGGGACCCATAGGAAATACAGCACCACAAGATCTTTTGT